ATGGCATAAAATGTCAAAAAAACATCATAGTATATTAAGGCATGAAATGTCATAAAAATGTCATAGTATGGTCAGGCATGAAATGAAATGGTATAGTAAGGTATAAAAATGATAAAAAGTGTCACATTACAGTATGGCCTAAAAATGTCAAAAAACGTCATAGTATAGCATGGCATAAAATGTCAAAAAAACATCATAGTATATTAAGGCATGAAATGTCATAAAAATGTCATAGTATGGTCAGGCATGAAATGAAATGGTATAGTAAGGTATAAAAATGATAAAAAGTGTCACATTACAGTATGGCCTAAAAATGTCAAAAAACGTCATAGTATATTAAGGCATGAAATGTCATAAAAATGTCATAGTATGGTCAGGCATCAAATGAAATAGTAATGTTAGGCATAAAAAGACAACAAACATCACATTACAGTATGGCATAAAATGTCAAAAAAACATCATAGTATATTAAGGCATGAAATGTCATAAAAATGTCATAGTATGGTCAGGCATCAAATGAAATAGTAATGTTAGGCATAAAAAGACAACAAACATCACATTACAGTATGGCATAAAATGTCAAAAAAACATCATAGTATATTAAGGCATAAAATGTCATAAAAGCTTCATAGTACTGTCCGGCATCAAATGAAATAATAATGTGAGGCATAGAAATGACACAAAACGGCACATTACAGTATGGCCTAAAAATGTCAAAAAACGTCATAGTATAGCATGGCATAAAATGTCAAAAAAACATCATAGTATATTAAGGCATAAAATGTCATAAAAGCTTCATAGTACTGTCCGGCATCAAATGAAATAATAATGTGAGGCATAGAAATGACACAAAACGGCACATTACAGTATGGCCTAAAAATGTCAAAAAACGTCATAGTATAGCATGGCATAAAATGTCAAAAAAACATCATAGTATATTAAGGCATAAAATGTCATAAAAGCTTCATAGTACTGTCCGGCATCAAATGAAATAATAATGTGAGGCATAGAAATGACACAAAACGGCACATTACAGTATGGCCTAAAAATGTCAAAAAACGTCATAGTATAGCATGGCATAAAATGTCAAAAAAACATCATAGTATATTAAGGCATAAAATGTCATAAAAGCTTCATAGTACTGTCCGGCATCAAATGAAATAATAATGTGAGGCATAGAAATGACACAAAACGGCACATTACAGTATGGCCTAAAAATGTCAAAAAACGTCATAGTATAGCATGGCATAAAATGTCAAAAAAACATCATAGTATATTAAGGCATAAAATGTCATAAAAGCTTCATAGTACTGTCCGGCATCAAATGAAATAATAATGTGAGGCATAGAAATGACACAAAACGGCACATTACAGTATGGCCTAAAAATGTCAAAAAACGTCATAGTATAGCATGGCATAAAATGTCAAAAAAACATCATAGTATATTAAGGCATAAAATGTCATAAAAGCTTCATAGTACTGTCCGGCATCAAATGAAATAATAATGTGAGGCATAGAAATGACACAAAACGGCACATTACAGTATGGCCTAAAAATGTCAAAAAACGTCATAGTATAGCATGGCATAAAATGTCAAAAAAACATCATAGTATATTAAGGCATAAAATGTCATAAAAGCTTCATAGTACTGTCCGGCATCAAATGAAATAATAATGTGAGGCATAGAAATGACACAAAACGGCACATTACAGTATGGCCTAAAAATGTCAAAAAACGTCATAGTATAGCATGGCATAAAATGTCAAAAAAACATCATAGTATATTAAGGCATAAAATGTCATAAAAGCTTCATAGTACTGTCCGGCATCAAATGAAATAATAATGTGAGGCATAGAAATGACACAAAACGGCACATTACAGTATGGCCTAAAAATGTCAAAAAACGTCATAGTATAGCATGGCATAAAATGTCAAAAAAACATCATAGTATATTAAGGCATAAAATGTCATAAAAGCTTCATAGTACTGTCAGGCATCAAATGAAATAATAATGTGAGGCATAGAAATGACACAAAACGTCACATTACAGTATGGCCTAAAAATGTCAAAAAACGTCATAGTATATTAAGGCATAAAATGTCATAAAAATGTCATAGTATGGTCAGGCATGAAATGAAATGGTATAGTAAGACATAAAAATGACAAAAAGTGTCATAGTATAGTATGGCATTAAAACGTCAAAAAATGTCATCGTATAGTAAGGCACAAAAAGATCAAAAAAACATTAAAGTATAGTTAAGCATAAAAGCATCATCAAAACATAATATAGTGAGCCATAAAACGTCAAAAAACATCATAGTATATTAAGGAATAAAAGGTCATAAAAATGTCAGTATACATAGACTATGTTTTATAGTATTGGAGTTAATAGTACTCAGTGTACATTCACTGAGATTTTGGGGCACTGAGGTGATAATATACCCACAATGCATGTATTGCAATGAGATGACAAAAGACTGTTGCAACAAGAGATTTATTTTGCTTTAAAAACACTACATACCCAGACAGGTGTTTTTACTTGCCGCTAATTAGGCCTGTGCTCCATTTGCTATTTGTCAAAACTTTGCTGGGAATTACCTGAGATCACAAAACTTCATGAACTAATAAGTCTTTAAAACATTGTTCAGTAAGGTACAGGTGCAATAATACTGACACAGAGTCAAGGAAAAAAGTTGCAAAGACAGAAAAACAAAACATGAAATTTTTTTATCTAATTTTTACCTCACTTATTTCATTTTTATTTTACTTTCCCAATTGCATGATCAAGAAAACGCATGACATGGATTAAGCCAATTTCTCATATCACTTGAGGCATCAGTTCAATTCGACTCCACATAGTTTGATGCAAACTGCAGAAGAAATCTTATTAGTCCTTGTATTCAGACAGCAGCTAGAAAAAGTTCTTATGAAACAGTTTTATTGTTTCAAAAACAAGTGTTCTATTTTGTACTCAAAATTGAATTCAATTTTATAATAAAATTTTTGTTTACTCTAAATATGAAATCCTTTATCAGCATAGTTAGTTATTTAATACAGGAGCTCAAAATAAGATGTTGAAATGAACATTGATGATAGATGCATGTACAGTAATAAAAGTATTTTCAGACTCAGGTTTAAAAAAAAAAGAGATAAGACTAAGACTGTTTAATTGGTAGCTCTATAAGGATTAAACAAAAAATGATTTTTGTCACATCAAATTTACTTTGGATCTGAGTATTAGCTTTGCTCTGAAACTGTGATAAGTGCTTCTCATTTTAGGCTGAGAGATGCTCCAGCTGGGTAAGAGCAGACATCTGGGAACGATACAGATGGGGTCGGTGCTAATCATCCCTTACTGCTGTTTTTATGGACCCAACTTTCAGTAAACCGTTGGGATCTAAGCCTGTATTAACATGATCCTATCAGCCTGACTCCTCCTCTGATACTTTTTATAGACCCTACAAGTAGCCCTGACCTGTGCTATCCGTGATTCATGCTTTACTGTATGTTCTATAACTGTAACCTTCCTTTGTACATACATGGTGATGCATGGTGTGGTGAAGACCGGAGAAATGTTTGAGACTAGCCAGAATTTTTAAATGCTTGTCAGGCAAAACTGAGGCCAAAGTGTCTCAGTTAGGTCCTTCAGCAGTGAAGTTGCACTTTGTGATTTAGGGTGCTAAGACATGTTCAGTTTTACATAAAAGCCAAACTTTGACATGTGTAGCTGTGATAAAAACTAAACTGAGCTGTGTTTAGTGTGTAAACTACACCTGGGTTTCTTTTTGGTGAAATTGTAAATGGCATTACTGGCAGACAGCCTAACATGTTATATCAACTATAGATGGGTGATGGAGTCTGGCTGCACCTACTTCTGTTACTCTTGTCAGGTTTGGAGACAAAATCAAGTCACACTGTTTGTTTTTGTGTGGAGGGTTGATGTTGAAGTGAAGTATTAGGCCTAGCAGCAAAATTGTGAGGCTTATATCTTTTGTGTGAAGTGACCAAGTCTGTGGGAACTTGGCTCTGCTGCTGTTTACACACTTCAAGGCTTGATTCTGGGTGACAGTGATAACAAAGATGTTGGACAAATTCAGGGAAAAAACAGAACTTGGCAAAAGGCAGCTATAAAATTAATATCACCACATCTCTCCCCTAATACTGGTAATAGCTGTTAAAGTTTAACTTGCTCATAGAGTGCATGCACCATATGATACAGTTAACAGTCTCCCTCTGACCCTTCCTGCTAGCTGCCACCTCCCTGCCTGTCTCTTCCTTCCAATAAATCCAAAGGGGGCTGTGTGTCGAGCTGACCCCCCAGTGAAAGTGCCATGGAGCAACTCCAGATGTGAACATCCTCCCTCTCTCTCTCTCTCTCTCTCTCTCCCACACTTTTCTCTCCCACTTCCACCACCGGTCAACCCCCCCTTTCCCTCCCTCCCCCATGCAGCTACGAGTTTTCCATTTCCTTTTTTGGTGAAAAAATCTGAAACAGAGGCAGGGAGGAGGACATTTCACCAATGCAGACAGGAGAGTGTATCTGGCCGTCTGTGTATGTGTGCTTCATTAAGGCGATGAAACAGTCGACTCAGCATAAACAACAGTGTATGTATACACATTCAGTCGCACATACACACTCGCACACTCTCTCTTCTTACACACGCACAAAAATATCTTAAACCTACCAACACACATTACCTTTTTACTCTGTTTTATTACACACATGGTTTCTTTCTCTAACACTTTCTCACACTAACACACTTCCATGCCCTTCCCCCTCTGGATTTGCACTCACACAAACACACACACACTCACACACACACACACATGCACACACGCACACACACTGATCTTTCCTAGAAAGACTTTTTAAACACACCAGAAGGGTTTTCTCTGGCTTCGACAGTAAACACTAGTCTACAGAAAGCAATGACCTCATAAACCCGCACTGGATATTTCACTATAACCACAGAATATAAAAACTGCTCAGCAAAGATCAGTCTATGTAAATGTATTTTAATAAGACTTCACAAATAAGACTATCCATTGTAGCATTTAATCATTGAATCATCAATTATCATCTTTTTTTTCATGAAGTTCATACTGTCATCGCCTCGATAGCCTAGTTCCCATCTTAAAATGTATATTTGCCAACTCTGACTCACCAGCATCAAAGCTGAAATAATGAAATATAGGTTTGTTTGTTTTTTTGTTTTTTTTGTAGATTTTTTTTTACATACAAGTCACATACAAGTTAAAAACTAACAATGAAAAACAAAACACTAACAGCGTTAACAGTAAGAAAATAATTACGGTGGCAAATCATGGCAGATGAAGACATGCATACTCCTGCAATACACGATGGTAATGCATTTCATTTCAGCTTTTGGGTTATAAATGCTGGCTCTTTGAGCAAAGGTGATAAAAGGATTCATTACAACAAATGAAAAAGACAGAAACAATATGTAAAATAAGTGTCATTGCAAAGTTTCACAAGCAGATACAGAACATTAAAAGGGTTTCTTTGTGTGTCTTGTGCCATGTCTTTGAACTGTGTTTTTTTATGTGCACATAACATGGTAGCAAGAGAATGTCTTATGCAAAGTGCAAATGTCTTTTTTGATCATGACTATCATTAACTGACTGCCTCATTTTTCAAAATTTCCCTCTTGTATTTACTTTCTCACATATTTCAGTCTTTTTTAAATTGGTCTAATTTGTTTGCCACTTTATACAACAGTGTCATACCTCCTTCTATGTCATTATATACAGTAACTTGTTCAAGACGCATAGAGCAAGACATACATTATCGAAAGATAACTGACACGTGAGAAAAAGCAACATTCAAAATGCATAAAACTGCAGTTATAAGAGCATTAAAACAGTAACTCCACCATACTTTGAAAATACAGACTGTAAGGTTTATATTCTATACTGTATCAGTGTTCTGTGGCTTCTCTTCAGAGCCTGACCTCTACCTGAAGTGGCAACTTATTCATATAAAATATGAAGGATTTTTTTTGCAAAGTGACTGGCATTTTGCATTTCTTTGGTTTAATAGAATAATACGTAAAGAAATGTTATTCTTAAGGCACTCCATAAAGTTTGTTTCACAAAATAATTAACGTTTTGGTTAAAGAGGAAATCTTTCTGGTGGTTCATGCAAACAATGCAGCATCAGCACAGGATTTTGCGCACTAGCTCCAAGATGAAAATCTGATCCAGACAGGGAAAACGAGGAACTGATGTCTTTTGTATAAAAATGACCTGAGAGGCAGCATTTGTTAGCCTGTGTTACCTTCCTCGGTAATGACTTGGGGTTCTCGAAATGCTGTGACAAAGGGTAAAAAAAGGGAGGTCGAGGGAAGGGGTGAGAATATTGTGAGTGACTGCTCTATAGGTTGCTGTGGCAGTCGCGGCACAGGATTCTTTCACCATCAGGGAAGAAGCCGGCGCCCACCAGTGAAACAGAGCACTGGGAGCAGGTGAAGCATGGCTGATGCCACTGACGATCCTCAAATGAGATGTACTTTCCTCCTCCAAAACCTGGGACAGAAAAACAATAAGATTAAACTATATCAAGCCTTGAAAAAAATCCCCTTTTCTCGCTTAGAAAACTTACATTTCCAATAAATCTTTAATTTCGTTCTTTTGTTTATTTTGAGTAATATAAAATCCAACATGCGGCTGCCAATCGTTACAGTATTTACTGTACTTTTACAATAAATCTATGTAATAGTTTATCTAGGTAGAACACAATGATGTAGTCTTGCCTGTGATGGGTTTGCTGCAGGCCTCACACTTCTTGGCATACAGGCTGCCAAAGCACTTAAGGCAGTAAGGGCTGTCGTCTCGGGAGGTGAAGTGTTGACCCGCCAGCTGCGTCTTACAGCTGGTGCACACAAAACACTCCTTATGCCATGGCTCATCCCGATAGGTCACACCACCTTTAGCCAGGGTCTGAAAATGAGACAGGTCAGAGGTCAAGTGGAGATCCTTTTAATTCTAAAATCTTGCTCCCATGCACATTCCTGCAGACCCAGGATTAATCCTCCTCATGTCTCCCATGTGTTTGCATGGGTCCTTTAACCATGTTTCATGTGAGAGTCAGTGGGAATTCAACTAACAGTTATTGTAGTTATTTGGTAACTTTACTGACCTTTTTACAGCGTGTGCAGCGTGGAGCGAACTTGTCCTCGTAGCAGGGCACACAGTAGTGTTCGTCCTTGTCAGGGATGAAGGACTTGGAACCAATCGGCTGTTCGCAGCTGTGACAGATGAAGCAGCCCTCGTGCCATGTAGAGCCTGCATACTCCAACTTCCTCGTACCTAGCAGAGAGAAAGAGAGATGAGGCAGAGACAGAAAAAGAAAAAAAAAGGATGGAAAGAATGACAGAGCAGAGGGAGACTTAAATGTTTAGTGTACAATGCATCTTTTACTGTCTTTCACAAGACCATTTTGGTATTTTTTGGTGGTAATTTTATTGAACTATGAAACAGTAGACTTGAACTGCATGAAGGCATATAAATCTCATTTTGTTTCACTAAGATTTATTTTATTTTAAATCATAACACCACAGGCCCCATACTTCTTTCCTACTGCTGGAAACTGGCGGCAGGCCTTACAAGAAAAGGAATAATGCCATTTTTCCCTTCCATGTCCCCAACCAATCCATCTTCTACCCCGTGGCTGTTGAGTTTTTTATGTGACTAGTTGGTTTATTCTATGGTGACGCAGTGGTTTGTGTTGGGCTGACATTTTGTACTTCTGCTGTCTGCAGATTGCTAATGTTTCACTGCTTCAGGCTGTGTGCTGCGGTGTTCTCTAATCAAAAACACAAAAATCCCCTTCAAAAACATTCCAGGTCATAAGCTCACAGTAAATACACTGGCTCATTGAGGACAATTTTAGCATTTAGGTACGAGTATTTTGCAAATACAAAAACGTGAACAAGCTTTAAATCCAAAACAAACGACTTATAATTATTGGGAACAATTTTGCAAGCATTAGAAAACAAAATCTCCTCACAGACAATAGGCTTTGCGCACAATGGAAATCGTACAATGCTCACAAAGTATGTAATTGATTTTGTCTAGTCGATTTAAGTCTCAGTCTGCACATTTCAAATATTTCAAAGCCACTTTTCCTTTTATCATGTACTCCTTTAAAGTGTGTCTCTCCAGCAGTTTACTCAGTTTACGGTATATTTATATACTTGGCAAAAAAAATAGTTTTAGCCGTTGAAATGAAACTCAAATGAGCTTCACTGTCACAGTGCACAGTTGCAAGAACTGAACTGCTGTCTGTGTCGAAAGGATTTTGCAACAGGGTAAAGTGAGGGACAAAAGAACAGGACCATTGTCTGGGAGAGCACAACAATACAACATGTGCATGACTACCTCCAGCAACGGGGGCAGTTTCGTCTGACCAAGCTTTTTAACCAAACAGCTTACGAGGAATCCGTTTACATGGCTTTGGTATAAAGTTACTTCACTCCTTTTGTTACCAACATAAACCACTTCAGCTGAGCGTCCAGTTATTAAACAAACAGTTTACAAGTGTGTGTTTGCTTTTGAGGGTGTATATGTTTTTCTATGATGACAAATGATATAACTGTAATTTCTATTGTTAGAGGGAAATTTTTCCTCTTCCAAAATGCGACACAACGGGGTCCAAGTCTTCTTAAGTTTATCTCAGACAATACTGATGTGATGTGTTCTACTGTATACTATTAAATTCCTATCTGGCCTAATGCCAAGATGTCTTTGATTTAATCACTCTCTGTAAAAATCTTTACTTCTCAAGGTGACTCGCTTGGGTCTAACTTGGGAAAACATGAGATTACCTAAAGTAGAAATAAAGGGGAATGTCATACCTTCCTGGAATCATTTTCTGCTTTGTGAGGGCTGTGTATGTATGCTACAGGGATGCTGGAATGAACGACTAGCTTATCGCTTGTTATCATCAGTCTGCTGGCAGCCCGCCAGCCCTGGGGATCTGGCTTACAGACAACAAGTCAAGCAGATTGGCAATTACTCTGTCATATTCAGCCCTGACTGCTGCTCAATCATAGGCCCTTGCCGTCATTTCTTACTTGTCTTCCTTTTTTCTAAAACCTCTTTCCTTGCTCTCAATCTGTTAGTTTATACTTTTCATTTGTCCCTGTTTCCTGGAGTTTGCCATGTCATCATTTTCCAAAGTCATTTGCATTTATATCTTGACATGTGAATTTGTATACTACATGGAAAATGAAATGTGGGACAATGAGACTAATGCTTAGTGGGTGAATAAAGTTTTGGCACTGTCAAATGCACTTTGTGCAAGTTACTTACCAAATTACTAACTCTTTCATTCTATTTTATTTTTAATCAGGTGACAGTCTTGCCAGAATCATACTTCTAAAACCTCCACTGAAAGAATATTCCATACACACAAAAAAAGAGTAATATCACACATAACAAATTAAATGAGCCCTGCAAATCTGAACACTCAAGTCCATGTGCACAAATACAACATCCCTGTTCCCACCTTTACCTGGCATCACGATCTTGTCGCAGGCTACACACTTGGAGGAGAACTCATTACAGTAGCAGTCATTGCAGAGCAACGCGTCCTCCTGGCTGGTGAAGGGTTCATCTGCCAATGAGCGATCGCAGCGGAAACAGCGGAAGCAGTGCTCGTGATAATGCCGGTCTTCATAAAAAAGCTCCTGGCAGCAGAACAAAAGCAGAAGGATACTGGGGGTCATTTAATGCCGTTATAAATACATCACTGAAATGTAATCACCTTTATCATACTGTGTTTCCCCCAAAAACATCTATCTTTACATGTTTTAAGGTTTCACAATTGCAGAAAGACTGCAAAACTGAAGACCAGAAAAGGTTTCTGGTTTCAACAGCAGGAGTGTTGGAGTTTAAACTGACTGGTATCATGTCCGCATACATACACAGTGACAGGTATGCGGTTACATGCACATGCATATTGTACTTATGTGCCTGCTTCTGTTTAAAAAAAGGTTTTGCAAGGATGGGAGTTAATTTAATGTCTACAGGGCACTGAGCCAAGCAAACTTATTTATCGTCTGCTGCCCGTGAGGGTGTTGACAACTCATAGGCCTCCTTAGCAAAGCAAACTGCTAAGCACCATTGCATGGACTTCACTAAGGAGCATATGTCGGTCTTAAATGATCCACTTCATGTTAGTGTTTTCCATTAAAGGAAGATTAAATTTTAACTTGATTGTGGGAAAGGAGGAGAGGTTTGCTCCATGTTGCATTTTTACAGTCTTTGCCAAAATTAGCCTGTTGGCTTTTGTAGACTTAGTGGAAATTGCCTGTATAATTGTATATTAAATTAGCCTTTACTGTGTCTTGCCACACAAAATATATAGAACACGCCTCATTTACAATGAATTATGCCTCATTAACATGACATAACTTCTGTTTAAGTGATCCAAGGCCACATCAAAACATGATAAAAAATGACTTACAGCTTATAAGTGTAGTTCTTTTGATGTGTTTTAGATTTGTTTAAACTGTTAATATGTTGCTCACACTGTGGAAAGGCTGAGGTCATATGTGGGATTCATTCCAGTGTACAGAAAATAAATGTTACCAGTAATAATAGGCACAGGTCTTAATGTTTTTTTTTGTTTTTTCTAAGGTCCCGTATTAGATAAAGTGAGATGTCCATATCTTCTTTGATTATAAAGCAGGTCTAGGTTCTATATTAATACTGTGAAAGTATCAAGGCACTCAGTTCACAGAGAAATGCAAACAGCCTGTATTCAGATGTAACTTTGTGATGTCACAACATAACAGTCACTCTTAAAGTGTAAAATATGGGACCTTGAAATAAAAAATGAAAAATCTTTCTAATTGAAATTCTGTATTTACTTGCATGTCCGATTATGTCAAAATGAATGCCTTACCCTTGCATCATGGCCGATCAGCTCTTTGCACTCATCACATGTATTTGAGAACAGGCTGTCATAACAGGGGATGCAGTAGGGGCTGTCATCTGACTGGATGTACTTGCGGCCATAGAGGGATTCTTTGCAATTGTCACAGTCGAAACGGTCAGCCATTGTAATTTTCTGCAAGTCTGAAACAGAAAGAAGACGGCAACATTTTAAAATACAAAATGTCAACACATGGAAAGAAAAGGACAAGAGGGAAGAAGTGTACATAAAAAAAAGAGAGGACTGATTCAGTCACCTTTTCCGGTACGGCAGTTGGGCATCAGTATAGACTTTCACTGCCAATATTTACGTTGTAAATACTTTGGCTTGTACCAGCGATGAAGCTGAACTCAAACAAAACATGCAGTGCAAGTGGGAGCAAGTGGAAAAAGAAAGAGAGACAGAGGAAAAGAGAGGGAGAGAGTCATGAGAGGCAGTACAAAATGCCTATTAACTTTTATTGGTGTGTGATGAAAGTGCAGTAGATGCAGAAGGAGGGGACAAGAGAGGGAGCTGTCACTTTTTCTTTCTTTCAGTAACTCCTTCCTGTCAACTCCTCGAAATCTGCAAACTCGAGATTAAAGCACCAATGCAAACCGAGCACCCTCTCTTACGACTGAAGTGGAAGTAAAAGCCCACACATCATACACACCTGTAAATATTTATGAGGCAAGAATATATGTGTGAGTAAAGCATGGACCACCAACAGATAGAGAAACCCCACGAAGCCCCATTGTGGGTGTTTGTGTGTGTCAAAAGAGCAGACACTGGAAGCTGTTTGAACACGACTCCCTAACCAGTAGATTCCTTTCAGCCTAAAGATGCAACTGCAGTAACATGCTTATACAGGAGAGTTACTGTCTCCGAACATGGTTTTCACTGTGCAACAGGCCCCTTGATCATGACTGAGCACACAACAAAGTGACAGAATAATATTGCGAGGGCATTATGGCAACAATATCAGGTTGCCAAAACATTAGAGCATGGCTGGAGGAAAGCCCAGTGATAAGTGATACGGCCCTCTGGCACGGAGCACTGCTGGCTATTCGTTCCCACCACCCAGTAATAATAATCACCTCTGATATAATAATCAATAAAACTTCAAATGTGTCCCGTGCTGCCTGTCTTACACCCACACACACATCCACCTATGCAGGCGCACAAGCAGAATACATACAAAGCATATAGAAGGCAGGCAAACGCGCACACACACACACACACAAAATCTCAGGGTGACACAAAAAAAGGAACAAAGAAAAAGCCAAATCACACAGGATCTATCATGAAAGAAAACATTAGTCCCAGACTCTCATGTTTCATCTGTCTCAGCCGTTTGCGAGACAAAAGCTCTTAATGAGTCGGGGTGAGAAAGTTCACCACCACACCAGCTGTTCACCCCCCCCCCCCCCCCCCCCCCCCTTCAACAACCTTAAGACATAAATTAGAAAGTGTAAATGCCCAACAGCCCTGCAGCCATGTGTATACACTGGCTTGCATCACCAGACTGCCATATCTCTCTATCTAATGACTGAATGGATACATCTTATGTATCTGATGTCTCACATTATAGTATCCATCTGGAGGTTATGGCAAAATATCAGAATAAGCAGCTGTGGTTGGCCTGTGTAATGTACGGTAAGGTGGTGATTTTGCAAGTCCCTCTTTTGACATCAATTTCTGTACATTTGACATACACACCATTCGCCAGAAAAACTCCAGCAACGTTGCCATCAGCCCACATAACATAACCAAGATTAGATCAACAGAAGCATAGAGCTGAGAATGAGCACGGTGACCTTAATGTTATCTGCAGTGCCAGGCAGGTATGTGCTGCCTTTGCTTGCCAGGTAAAGGGAACGAGACGAGGCATGACTCATAAAGCTGGGAAGGCAGAGCTATGACGTCTGATGTCAGCTTTAATTTCCAAAGCAAATCAGGCTGCTGTTTATTGCCCTCCCACAATTCATATGTATTATCCACATATCCATTTACTAAAAAGCTGCAGAAAGTAGGTCAAAAAACTTTTATCTGATTGGTAGAAATACATACAGTATGTACTCTGACAGCATGATGAATATGTGAACGCAGATGTCTAACCAGCCAACATCACTGTACCTGGTATGGATCACACACCCACTATTTCCCCACCACTAAATCCCCATGCAGCCTTGGCTAGTCTTCCTCTCTACAAGTGACTTTATGGTCTCCAGTGAGGTGTGGCTTTGAGAAAGAATAACTAGTTTGCTAGCAGTCAGATAAGATTAAGCAAGAGAGAACTCACTAAAGCACAGGCTAGAATATGAGACTCAGTCCTGATACATAAATATGTATTCATTTACCAATCAGAAGAAGGGCTTGTTTTGACTTCCAGGTCTTGTAGTGTTTCCATTTCAGGGAGATTCACTTCGTGTAATAGCCGTTTGCTGAGCCTGGAATGAACTCCTGATGGCACAGGCTCTCACAGAGAGGGGCATGACGTCAGTGCACCGACCCCAGGAGCGATGGACTAAGACGTGACTGCATGTAGAAACTGCTGACCCAAAACCGACTATCCCAAATTGAAGAGCAAAGAAGAGCAAAGAAGAGCAAAGAAGAGAAGAGAAGAGAAGAGAAGAGAAGAGAAGAGAAGAGAAGAGAAGAGAAGAGAAGAGAAGAGAAAACTTGGATCTGGGTCACAGTGAACTCTAATCCCGAGGGCAATTCTCACAGGGCTTTGTATCTACTACTGTATATACTAGCTTCCCGGCAAAGTTCCATCTCCTTCTTGCCCAGGACCCGGTGACTAAGAACCCCACTCTGGGTTAATAACGTTCCCAAATACCAAAGCTGTGACTGAATTCAGCCCCCTGGGAAAAGTGTGGGCTTCAAGGAAATCACCACTGTCTCCACACAGGACAATGGTCCAGAAATATTGCACTGAGTTAGTTATAGTACTGCAGCAGAGAGATGGGATCGTTGTTTAATATTGGCAACAGTGCATTCCATTCTCTTTAATGATTCAGAGGGAGTTCATCTGAGAGACTAAAATATATATGAAACGCAGCTATATGGGTCAGTGTGAATGACTCTGCAGGAACTCATCAGTCTGTTCAAAGCAAAGCATCTCCACAACAGACGCCAGTTTTCCGTGAAATTTGCAATTTACGTGTTCATGGTTTTGAGAGGATGAATCCTAATGTTTGTGAGACCAATTTACTCTGGCCTTATAGCACCATCATCACGAACCCTTTCTATTCTGTGATTATTCCTCTAACACCAACCTCAGGCCAAAACTCTTCAGTTTGTTTTAGCAGTATCACTAAGGATGAATGAAAACCAAAATCCTCAGTGTGTTATTCATTCCGTACAAAAATCTTTAACATTATGGGATGCGACGAACCTTGAATGTTCCTTAGACTTTTGGTTTGTTGTCACACATCCGGTTATAAGATAACAGAGGAATGCCAAGGCTGCATTCTGCTATTCATCACAAGCTGTCCTGATTGACATAAGGGGGGTGAAGTTCAGTTGTGAGACACCACAGAGCAGCAGACCAATACAAACAAGCAGACTATATGCTGTTGCCGGGCAACATAGTCATGGTTGGTTACTAAAGGGCTAGCAGAAACCCTGTGTGTAGTCCAGTCCCACAGGCAGGCCCGTTAATCCCCAGCCCAAACTTTGCTTACGCTCTGGTTGATTCCAAATGAACAGTCCGCACAACCTGCTAGGAACGAGCTTGCCAGCTCTTCCCTGAACATCCATGTGACTGTATCACATCTACTGTACGTCTCCTTTCTAATGTCTCTCACTCCTGTGAAGTTCTAACTTAAGCTAGAGGAGAAAAAGACCACACTACTATGAATAGAATAATTAGAAAAAAAAAAAAAATTGTTACCTTTTAAGGATTGTATTTAAAAAGTGTTCACGAGGGTTGGGATGTCATTGTAATAGTCATGAAAAACAGATTATCTCCGACTGGTCAAATGGCCAAAAATACATATACTGGCTCAGTGTGTGTGAGTGTGTGAGTCAGTGCTGCTAAACGCAGGGTGAACAATGAAAATTTGACCCTCGGACAAGAGCTCATCTTAGTGAAATCACATCAGTTATGTACATTAGTCAACAGGTGTTTAGTGCCCTCAATGACTTTGCACATACACAGACCAGACAACTGATGCATTATATACAGTCTAAATCCAAAGTGTCAACATTCATGGTCCATTCAAAAACACACATACATATAGCCTTTAAAGGGAATATAATATTAATCCTGTGATCACTGATTACAAAGTAAATGACGTTGTTCCCAAAAGATAAAAAAAAAAAAACATGAAAGAAAGAACAAACTATTTCCAGGAGACGCAGTGACACTAAGGATGTTTATTCAATGCTTTGGGCACATTTTTAGTTTTGTAAATATATAGTGCCACAATGACATGAAACCCTATTTTAATTCAAATGTTAAGGATTTTCCATAAGTCCTGAATGTGGAGTGAAGCAGCTGTTGTTTATGTCACCCACTGACAGCGCATCAATAAGGGACAACAACTAAGTCTGTTTTTTTTTTTCCTTTTTACAACAGAGAAAAACATTTTGTGCCAACACTATTGCAGAGATAGTGAGGAAATGTCATATCTCCAACATTAAAAAAAAAGTCACAAGCGGAAGTGGCGCAACTGTATCCATCCTGATAACACAACAGGACTGGTGGTGGAAATAGCATCAGCGTCTTGGCAGATGATTTTAAAATGGTTTAGTTTATTGCCAAGTGGGAAACTGTACAAAAGTAGTGGATATGCTGAACTATGAGGTCTACAAGCAATACAGTCAAGAAGACCAAGAAAGAAACCATTTCAATACCAGAGCAACTGCTCTATTTATTAGGCCTGTGTTTATATGTCCATTGTGACTTGTGTGCTTTTATGTCCAAGTGGATACTTTAACAAGTGTGGATTTTACTGTGAATAGTAAGGTGTTCTCTACTTTAAAAAAGTAGCAGCCACAAAAGCCACTCAATCACCTTTAACTGTCTGGATCTTTTGGCAGAAAATAGACTCACACACCAGAGGAAGGAGTGTGCTGTTAAGCAGGTCGTCTGTACATACACACAGTTGTTTCCTTTTATACAGGTCCCAGAGAGAGTGATGAAGGCACAGAGGAG